AATATTTAAATTATATTAATTATTTATATTAATTACTTTAATTATAAATTAATTAATGAATAATTATAGTCATTAATATAAATTAAATTAATTTAATTATAAATGATGTTTTATTTATTAATTAATTAAAAATTATTTTATAATTAAATGATAATCAGTTAATTTACTATATTGAAATATATTTTAATAATAATAAATAATAGTTATGAATTAATTATGGATTAAATTAATTATAATTAGATTTATTTTAAATCAGAATTTTAAATAATCCCCTCCGACTCTCTTTCCCCGACGTTCGTGTAAAGCGGACCGGCAAACCACCTAAGCACGCTTTGGTGCGCGTGGATAGGACCGGAACCCGGTGCGACACTACGACGAGGAGCAGTGCGAGTGACCCTCGATCCACGTGTCAACGCTCAAGACAACCCCGCGGAGGTATGAAAATTTCACTCAAAACCTACTTCAATGTTGATGCGCGAACGAAAAATGCCCCAAGCACGCCTTTGGCGCGTGGTGGGATGGGACCCCGGTGCGCACCTACGGCGAGGCGGGAGCGCTCATAAGTTACCCCCGGGCAGGGGCGAAATACAAAAAATATGCTATCTTTCATAAAATGCTTCCTTATAAAACCCCAAGCACGCCTTTGCTGCTTGGTGGAGAAAAATAAACATACACCTCCGTGTCTCACAAAACACCAACCGTGACGCCTCTGGTGGCGTGTGGTAGGCGCCGCGCACTCTTGTTTTTGCCCACTTAACAGGGGCAGACGCCGGAGGCTGCCGAAAATTTGGATTGCAAGAATCCAAGGAAACTTGTAGCAATGTGGACGGCATAGGACGTGACTGAACTTGAAAGACATTGCAAGAGCTTATATATGAACAAAGATCCGACTTGAACTTGTTGGACCAAAATCTACTTAATTGAACTCAAACGTGAATGAAACCATAACTTTAAGCATGATAAAACAATGAACATTGTTGAACCAAGTGAGGACTTAGACCTGCCATATGAACGAACATGAGGACTCCTCTGCTAACGTACTTGATTGGACTCAAGCTGAATTGACGTCATCTTGAACTTGCAAATGACATTGAACTCGGACTTAACTCAAGAGAACTCGCATTGACATATAAAAGGAACTTGACAATTCCACTTAAAAACTTGAATATGGCATAGACAATTATGCTTGGACTGATTTGAATAATGGTTGAACTCAAAGGGAATCACAAGGAACTTGAGGTTAAGTAAAATCTAATCATCGCATATGACATGGTACTCACAATGATACCAAACGATAAATAACGGGATCCATGTAATTCCAACTTAGCGTATTTATGCTTCGAATCTCAATTCAAGTATGTGGGTAATTTTGAGTGATTGCAATGGACAGCTTACATTCAACAATACAAATTCTCGATGAGTGATAAAAAATGGTAGTATTTCATTTGAGAATAAATGTAATTCAGTAATCTCATCAGTGAACTCACAATCATCTTTGGTGATAACAAAGGATTACTAAGATTCCAACATTAAATGGGATTACTCATGAGTGAAGGTGAAGGATCATTCTACATATTACAAAACACAAATAACAATAAAGGATTTGCTTTTGAAGAAATGGTCAGAATATCAATAAACCATCATGCCAAATTAGAAGCAACGCTAATCAAGAAGTGTGAGCATTCAAATCTCATTACATGCCAAAATCTGTTTAGGTGGGTGGGCGGAGGCCCCACATTTCTCACCAGCAAGGAGATATTTAAGGAGGCACATGTGAAGTATAGTGATGGGCCATCGTTGATCATGGAGTTAGGTAAATATGCAAAGAGAAACAGTTAGAGCAAGAAGAAGATAGAAGAGACGCAAGAGATAAGAGACAAGGAGCACACAAAACTTGTGTCAAAGTCTGAAAGGGATAACAGACGAACACAAGAAGGCTTGCGAATAGACAAAGTGACCCAAGGATCAGGCAGTTGAATGTTGGCAATCCATGCAAATGACAAGATCAACGACAAGCCAAAGCCAAGGAGTATAATTCACATCCGCAGGAAAAGAAACAAAAGAGCTGCAACATATATCAGCTTCCTCCAAAGACAAATGTTACAGGCCAGTATTCCACGTTGGTGAGATGCAGTATAGGAATATTGCAGTAAATAACTGCAGTATCGGAACCAATCTTACAGGCTACAGATAAGGGATATGAACCATCACATCGACCCCTTATACTGATTCCTAGTATAGTCCAGAGTTATTAAGAACGTGGAACAAAGAGCTACCAAAAGTCCTTCAGTTGTTTATTCCTCGAATTATATTATACATCAGATGAAAACGTTATTAGCACTTACATAAGGCGTGACTCTTAAGTTCGGCGGCGCTGCGTGACGTATCCAATAATACAAGAAGCAGGTAGATGTAAGGGAGCATATGCCGTTGGCAGGATGTCTATAGCCGCCCTAAAAGTTTACTTATCTGGAAGCGGAATGAGGAGATACCGTGGTATTCGTGAGGAGGTCTGGCCTACACCCATCTCCCAAACAATCGTCCACACAGTTCTGTGTGGGCGTGAGTTGTGATGGGTCTGAGGTACGCGGGCTCTCGCCAAGCTCGATTCGAACCACATAAGCTCAAGATAGTGCTCGCCACGCTCAATCCTGAGTGCTGTGCAAACATTCTCCTGTCTGTGCTTACAATACGATCAGAAGCCATAGTTGCAGCTGCGAATGCTACTATCCTATGGTCCATATTCTGCTTTGTCATAATGAGACAATTATATATACTGGTACTCCTATAGCATCTCAATTACACTGTCTCTCTCTTAGTAGATTCTTCAGTGTGTCGGTGGTGCACAAACACATAAGTGAGAAATTAATATACTCCGCGATGGTTGCTTCCTTCGTAGCTGAGTGTTAGAATATGATGAACCACGCAGCTGAGATCTGTTGTGAGGCATTCTCGGGTGGAGTAGATGGATAATATTCTTAGTGTTCGTACCTTCCTCTGGCCCCGCTTAGACTGGAAACTAAAGAGTGCTACGACATACGGAGAGTCCAATCATTTCAACCAAACTAGATCTCTCCTGATGGGGCTTACGACCCTGGATTAATTATGGTTCTTAAGACACGAACCTATTTATAGGCAGCATATGTCCGCCCAGTCAGAGCATCAACACATCATATACTAACCAATAGGCATCAATGCTCTCGAGACAAGACTCTTCTGATTCTCTTCTTCGTAATACTATCCCCTTTGACACAGTCTGTCTAGGAAGACAATGTGGTGCATAAGCTGTAGAGAAATTGACTCCGGATATTCACCCCGATTCAATCGGACGCCTTCAGGGACGAAGCAGTTACTTGCAAAACCGCAGGGGTATCGATACAAAAAAATTTTTTTTCTAAAAAATATTTTGTTCAATAATCACTTATAAAAGCATGAGCGGTGCGAGGTCTCCTATTTGCCAATAAGAAACACAATTCCAAGCTTCCTCTCCAGTAAATACAACTCCAACACAAAAACTACAAAACACCTTCACAGAATTTCAAATTCGCACTAAAGACATATAGATATTTATACAAATTGCAAGAGCTCCTCAGTAACTA